GGGGGGACCGGGGTTCGCCTGCCCCTGCGGGATGGTGGCAGGAGGAGGGCTCATCCCAGGGGTCCCTGACTCCGGGGTGTCCCCTCCCGAACAGGAGCAGAAGGCGCAGCTGGAGAAGGAGGTATCATCCCGCAGCCGCATCCCCCGCCTGGTCCTCCGGCCGCAGCAGAAGGTATCCCCAGCTTCCGAGTCGCCTTTTTCGGAAGAGGAGAGCCGGGAATTCAACCCGCCCAGTTCCTCCGGGGGCTCCGGCAGGACCGTCAGCAGCAATAGCTTCTGCTCAGGTACCGCAAACAGACACCCCTTACCCCCCCCTCCCCGACTCGGTGCTCAGCCTGGGGGGGTCACGGTGGGCCGACCACCGAGGCTTTGCTGTCACCCCCAGATGCAGCATCCGTGGGTCGGGCTCCTATCGAGCCTGCCGAGCATCCCGCTCTGCAGATGAAGAAGGGCAACCATTGATTTTTCCAGGGAAACCCAGTATCTGTTCTTTAAATACGTGTTCGTAAGCGACACCAGATGTTTCCATTTCGAGTTCTGCTATCCGCTGCTAAAAAGTTGGCGGTTTTACTGCGGCAGAATAGTTGCTTTAAAGAGAAAGATTTGCCTTAAAAACTGCAGCGTGGGGTTTGAGGCATTCTGAAAAGCCCGTACGTAAGCCAAAGAGTCTGTTATACAGGGGAGCTGCTACTAAGGGCATCAGACAGGGGTCAAATACTGCAATTCCTTTTAGTTTTGTGGCAATGATCTCCATGAGTGAATCAGAACAAAATATGTAGGTGAAGTTTTCGCTGTCTTATCGAAATGAGTTTTGTTTATTTGAGAATTCAGTCCTCTTCTGGCAAGCATGTCACCAGGCGTGAACTGGGCACGATGCCCTCTCTCTAGAGAGCGCAATGGCTGGGTGGTATACCAGCAGTAAACTCTTACTCTCCAACTACAGACCACAAAAGTATCATTTGCTCTTCAAAATGTCCCTTTACTTCAGGGACAACTTGAAACCAGATTTTTTTGTGTTAAATATTTGTCCTGTGTAGAGTTTAGCACAATTTAAGTCCCTCAACTAGCAGTGAATGACTCAGATACCTACTAGTGGTGAGTAATCTTTTAATTCAGTGAAAGTCTTCACTGTGTATGACATTATGCATGTGGATAACAGCATTGGGGGTCACATCATGAACACCTTGGGCTCTATATGAATATGGCAATTTTAAAGATATTTTGGTGACTAAAAATTTGGGTTTAATAGTATTTTTGAGAGCGTAACATTCTCTGTCTAACTAAAAATCTGAATTATAACAGGTTTTTTTTTTAATAGATAATATCAGAGCAAATTCCTGAAATTCCTTTTTGTTTGTTTATAAACTATTTATATTACCAAAGGTTTTCCTGAGAACAGCCAGAAGCACTCGTATTTATCTTTGTCTTCTCTATGGTGGATCAGATTATTTTTTTAAACTTCTTTAACAAGAAGCAGTGTATTGAACACTGTGTACAAGAACAGTCAATTTTCCTAAATGAGGAACACAATATCCATGTTTGAGTCTACCATTTCCTCCTTAGCTTGGATAGATTTTGCAATTCAGGCTCAGTGGAATGATCTATTTAGTTATTGTTTAATGAACAATGCAGAGTATTAAACAAACAACATGCTGAAGGCTTTTTCCCATGCCTTTTGAATCCCACCACCTTACCTGTTGGAGTTTGCCTGTTGTCTCGTAAGAAACAAAGGAGTAAAATCTTTTGAAGCTTTCTAGAAATACATTATTTTTATGATCTCTCCCAAATGGCTGCTTTTTATCCAGATTTTTTCCCTGTGTCTTGACAAGCCTTTCATCCTGGTTACTGACAAATCTTTTTTACGATATCTTTTGGGTTTGTAGCATGTTCTTCAGATCTACTCAACACAGAATGGCCAGAGTAACACCCTTGCTGTCCCACTGCACTAGAAGGGCAGTGTCTTGAGTCCCAGCAGAGCCTTATATTTACTCTGGGTGTGTCTGATCTCACGGCTTGACAGTTTTAAGGTGCCTTTCACAGAAGTATTCAAGAGCGCGATGCTAGTCTCTTAACTGTCTTTTAAGCACAGCTGGTCATATTTTTATTTCCTTTATTCATCTTCTATTCTTCCATGAATGCTGCGTTGATTTAGTTTGATTTTTTTTCCCCACAAGATCTTTGCGTTTCTCAAGCCACCTGCAGCACCTATACGGGTATGCTCTACCCAGGTGGACTGCTCTGAGTCTTCAGACCTTATGCAGCTGAGGATCAGCCACCGCACTGTCCTCCACCCCAATATGGGGTTTTGTTGTTGGTAGGTTTGGTGGGCTTTCACTGTGATGCAGGTATGACAACAGCTATACTCTGACATCTCTTCCCTGTCTTCTACTCAAAGTCATTCCACATCATCGTACGTCTGATTTAGGTTGAAATTCCCCAGTGGCAGCAGGCGGCTGCTGGTCCCTGTTTCTGGGAAGGGGATGGCAAAGAGCTGCATGGAGAGGTGAGTGGAGGGGCTGCAGGCTCTAACTTGCCTCTCCTGGTGCCCGGCTAGGCACTCACCATCTTAACTGAGAGGTGGCACGTGCAGAAAGGGTATTTATTTAAAATTAGCAAGTAATAATTTGAGAAGAGGTGAGCAAATGAATAATGTGATGAACGATAGTGTGATGGCAGTATGAAAAAGCTCATGAGCATTTGGATAAATGTCTTTTTTGTAACTTCTCTGGAGCATTAAACTCCAAAATATTCTTGATAAGCAGCAGATAGTGTGAACTGGCCCCTGGAAAAATTCCTTTCCTCTTTACCCTTCTCATGACAAGTTGCTCTCTGCCTTTCTTCCTTTATTATTGACACCAAGTGGTTATGATCAGTAGATTTCTTTTTCCCTAGCTAGAAATTATTTTTTTTTTCCTCATCCATTTAAATATGTATTTCCTGCTTGATTCCCTAGAGCTTCTGAGGTCGTCCGTTTTCCCTGGGTGCTCACATTTGTCCCAACCCATCAGTGAAGGCTTGGGAGTTCTTTCTCTCTAAATGAGAGCAACACGGTCTTCCAGGAATCGTTAATGTTGGTTTAGGTAGGGGGAACCTTTGGGAACTGTGGCAGTGCTGTGAGCACAGTGGCAACAGCAAAAAACACCTCTCGGCAACAGAGAAGAGACATTTTGTTTTAATGTTTGGTTTCTTTTGAAGAAGTTGTTAGTTCTGGCTGAGGTAAGTTTTAAATTTGCATGATCAGCTACCTCTTTGTCTTGTCTGACTGGATCAGAGACTCAGTTGGTCGTGTTGGTCAATTATTTACAATTTACTTTATGTCAGTTTTGCTTTGTAAGTCCATATGAGACATGGTGAGACTGTTAATCTTATCTGTGAAGTTCCTGATAAAATGTGTTTTTAATATTCTTTGTTTCTGCCAAGTGAACACGGATGCTGTCTGGATGTTGTGTAGGCAAGCTGGGCCTTTGTAGCTGTATTCGCCGTGCTCATTCCTGCCTTAAAATCGTAGCGCATCTGGGGTCCTGTTTGTCATTCGATACGGGAGAGCTTCTCTTCCTCCAGCCGCTGCCCTCCTTCAGCTTGGATGTCGGCCACGGAACTCGTGTGATGTCAAACGGTGAAAAAACACTCTCCCAGCAGCTTCCTCTGGCTCAGCTGCTACCGAGCGTTTGCCCGTGCCGTGTGTGTTTTCCCCATAAGTTGCGCTTGGCTGGGAAGGGTCTGGGCGCGCTTTCCCCGTCAGCCGGGAGGAGAGCGCGGCGTTAAACATCGCGAACAAACTGTCTGCTCAGGGGTGCGTGGCACAGCGGCTGCTGGGCTGCTCCTGGCAATCCCAGTTACGGTGCTTGCCTGGTAGGAAATAAGATACTTAGGGTGGGGTGTTATCCCTGATTTTTGTGTACACATCTTTTTGATACCAAGCCAGCTGTGTATTGGATGGAAGGCCACCTGGACGTGCTGAGCTCCGTAGCAGTCTGTTTAGCTTTTCATTTTAAAAGGAAGTTAGTTTGCGATATGCTTTTAAATTCCTCCTTATGAAGAAGAGTTGTTACACGCTACCTCTATAACGATGGCCAAGCTTCCCTTCAGCCTTTCTGCAGCAGCCAGACTCCTGAATTTCTGCAGGTAATGCAGCGGTGCTTTGTTAATGGAGATGCAGCTTCTCAGGAAGCGCTTGTGCATCTAATAATCAGTTCAGCAAAAGACTTCATGAGCCAGAGGACTCATTTTATTCCCACAGCAAATGTTTCCTCTTTTCTTGGGCTCACCTGCAAATTGCCTTTTTAACCAGAATGCGTAGTACTACGGGACGTTGAAAAAAAAACTGTAGCGTCTCTGTATATGAATGGTTGTGATTCACCCCAACAAAGTTTTCAAAAACAGGAGTTGAAGTTCTATTTTGCTTTTTCTTTCACTTTTCAAGGTCTGGGTTCAGTGTTTATTTCAGAACTTGTTCTTTTCTGGTATAAAGATTTTATTTAAATCTTGCTCTTTACACGTGTGGCACAGTAAATATGCTCCGGTACCATGCCTGCTCTGTAAGCCGTGGGCTGCACGTGCTGCGAGAGGCACCTCGGTGTTACCATGCCCTGCTCACGTGCTCCTGTGCACGGTCCCCTTGAACTCAAAGATTATTTGCCAGCTGGCCCAGCTCCTGATGGATGCTGGGGCTGAGTTTGCAGTGCATATGTCATAAAAAGCATGTAGGCTTTAGGCAGGCTGATTAAAGTTAATGTGAATGTGCTACCCATATTGCCAGACACAGGTGAGAGGAGAAGCGTTGTACTGGTGTTACTGGATGAAATGCTGTAACTTCTCACACTCTGGTAAATAATTTCTTTGCTAGAGCACTGAAGTAGGATGTACTGCAAACTGTCTAGCCTTGAAGGCTACACTATTAAGCATGTGGAATTCCATATATATTTCTGAATAGAAAGAGATAGAGGAAAACAAATTTTCAGTATTTTAGCAAGTCAACAGACTGAGGCCAGAGAGGAGTTATTAATTACTGAAAATAATTACCTCTATTATTTGTGTGTGTCTATATGTGTATGTATATATGTATGCATTATTTTGGAAATAGTGAGCTCTGCCATTCCTCTTGTTTCTTGCTATAAGAAGAAATATTTTGTTTAAATAGCTCCTTACTGGTTTATCTGTCATTTTTTCAGTCTGAGCTACTGAATCAGAGAGATACGCTTAAAAGTGTGCAAGTATGTGACACTGAAAGTTAGCTTCTCTTTCCTGCAGTCCTTTATGCTACACTTTTCCACAGTCGCTTTGC